GAGGACCGCTGCGCAGCAGGACAGATGGAGAGGGACGCGAGTTGCAAGCACCCCGTGGTAAGGGAGCCTCGGGCCCGCCCTTCCCTGGGGATTGAGGGAAACCGGTCCTGCGACAGGCGCCAAGGCACACGCTGGGGCCGTTTCTGTCGGGGGCGAGAAGGGGGGTGGGCTTCCGCAGGCGGCGGTTTGCTTTGGAAGATTGCATTCCAGTCGCGGTCCGGGTCCTGGACCGTTAGGGACGGTTGGGCCCTGCTGCCGCCTCTCCGCGGCGGGGCGCCTCGCGAGCGGGTCTCTGCGCCCCTCCTCGCCCCACCCCCACCCCGCACGAGGGGCTCACCCTGGGGACCAGGGGTGGGGCGCTCCTTTTAATGCGCGGATCTTCCGCACTAGCTTCTCTCACAATGCCTGGCGCATGGCGAGCACTCAGTGAATGTTTGTTGAATGAACGCAAGATAGTATCTTTGTCAACTAAGGAGATGCCTCAGGGACTCAGTAAACATGCCTGTGTTATATATTTTTACCCAGACGATGATAACATGCGTACTATTTTGCAGTTTCCTTTTGGATAGTCTAGTGTCTTTTCATAGCAGTACATATTCATAGTAAGTTTCATAGTAAGCTCGAAGGACATATTAAGATGTATTCAGTCATCCTTGAACATTATATTGATACCCAAGTAGATTTCATTTGTCTCTTGCACATCTGTATGATGAATACTCAGGACTGCAAATACTAGGTCATAGAAGTGTGTGCGTTTTTTTTTTTTTTTTTCATTTGGCAAGTATAGTATTGCCACGTTGCTTTCCATGAAAGTTTTACAAATATTCTCTCTCCAATCAACATGTTTATACAGTATGTTATCAAACCTTGATTTTTTACAATCCGATAGTGTAACCGGTATCATTGTAATTTTCATTTTCATTTCTTTTACAAGGTTGAGTATCTTTGTTTTAAGTGGCAGTTGTATTTAATTTTTCTGTAAATTGTTCATATACTTTGTTCATATTTTTATTGGTTATCGGGTCTTAATACTTGCTCTTTGTGTATAAGTTAAAAATATTTTTTTCTTTTCTCGGTTTGTCCTATGCCTTTTTACTTTGTTTATGGTGACTCTTTTGCTATGCAAATATTTTTTTTTATGTAGTCAAATCCGTGAGCCTTTTCTTTGATAACTTCTGGGTTTCATATCATATTTGGAGAAGCCTCCTATTACCTCAGATTATTAAAAAAAAAGTTGTCCTGTTTTCCATAAATACTTTTATAGTTTCTTTTTGTATATTTAATTATTGGGTTCACCTGGAATTTATTTTGCTGTAAAGATGTGAGCTAGAAATATAATTTTATTTTGTTTTATCCGATCCTACTTATCAAATAACCTATATTTCCTCCATCATTTTTGAATGCTACCTTTATAAGACTCACCTCGCCATATGTGTTTTGGTCTCTTTCTGGGTTGTTCATGTTCCATTGATCTCTTTATTCATGTTCTAGTACAATACTGGTTTTTAAAATTGATGTACATTTTTTTTTTTTACAATTTAAAAAAATTTATACTGCATACATACAGTGCACAAACGAAAAGCGTACATGTCAATGAATTTTCACAAGTGGAACACGTTTGTGTAACCAGCACTTAGATTAAGAAACAGAACATTACAGCTCACCCGAAGCCACCCTGTGTCCCCCTCCTAGTCCCCGCTCCTGTCAAGTTGCCACTCTGCTGACTCCTAATAGCAGAAACTAGTTTTGCTCGCTCTTGTATTTTACATAAAGGAATTATACAGTATCTACTCTTTTGTGTCTGGCTTCTACTGTTCAACATAATTTTTGTGAGATTCAGCCATGTTGTGCATAGTTTAGGTGGTCATTCTCATTAGTGTGTGGTGGTACGTTGTGGGAATATACCACAGTTGACTTCGTTTACTATTAATGCTATTTTGATTGGAATCACATATCTTTAGATTCCCCAAGGGAGAATTACTCTATTTATAATATAGAATCTTCCTATATACATATTTAAGTCATTGATGTCCCACGATTAGCGTTTTAAAGTTTTTGTCATTTAAATGTACATATTTAAGATTATCCCTGGGTATTGGAGTGCCTTAATTGCTATAGCTATTTTTACCTTTAAAAGGGTAAGAGTAGTTGAAATCCAATGAAGAATGCCTGTCTGCTTCTATGAAAAGCACAGACCTACTTTATGGGCCCATCCATCGTCTTTTAGCTCCAGTGGGAGAGGAAATAAGGGCAAGTCCAAAAAAGAGGAATTAAAAATTAAAAATGAAACCACAGGAGGAACTTCTTAATCAGAGCAGTGAAAAGCCAGGTGTAATCACTTTTCCTGGAAAATCTTTTGAAAGAGGGTTGACTTCTAATTGGTTGGGAGAGAGGCTGGGGAGTAGAAGAGATAATTTTAGGTGAGATGATTTCAAGCTGGGGTTGGCAGAAGGTGGGCAGAGTCAAATTCTCTTTGAATCTGAAACGGCTCAGGTCTGTTTCTCCACACTAGGGATCCTGAGCAGCCTCTCTGTATCCTGAGAGGTTGTTGAGATTGGAACCCAGAAAAGGACCTAGGAAGTCTCAAGCCTCTGTTTTTAACCACGAGAGGGTCTGTCGCTGGCAACCAGGCATTTCAGTTCCGTCCAACCGATTCCTGGAATTTCTGCCGCTTTCTGCTGGTCCTTGGGGCAGAGGCAGCAAGGACAATGGGGAGGAGACTGAGAAGAAAGAATAAAAACAAACCCACCCTCAGCCTCCTGAATCAGGTGTATTGGAGTTACCGAAGGAAGGTGAGGATTAACAACTGACCCCAGGCCCCGAAAAGAGTTGTTCAGAGTAGGTGGGGTGGATCACCCGTGGATTTTACCTTTCTCACGGGCTAGGTCCTACATCTGAGAGGCCCTGGGGGAGTGACTAGAGCTGGTGGCATTAGGTTCTGAGCCAGACAGCCCTGGGTCCAAGTGCAGCTCCCTCACTGACTAGCTCTGTGTACTTGAGCAAGTTACTTCATTTATATGACCTTTAGTTCCATCAGCTAAGATGCTCTCCCTATCTTACAGAACTGATGTTAAGATGAATAAGAAAAAGATAAAGCCATTGACATAAGGCCCTCAATAAATGTTATTTTTCTCCTCTCTCCACCTCTATCCCACCCTGGGGGGAGCGCCACAGATGGCGGCGAAGATGGGGACCATGACATTCCTGCACGTGCACACACATGCACACCTGTTGCATCCACACACTCATTAACACACACACGCCAGCCTGTACAGTCACACTTGAGCTAAGGGCAGCCTTCTCGGACGGGCCAGGTGCAGAATGGCTGGCTGATGATCGCACAGACTGTGGAGGTGCTCGTCAGAGTAACCTTGCTGTGTTAACGGGCTTCACCTCTCGAAGGTATTCTGGAAAGGCTGTGTAAAGAGAATAGGGTAGTAGCGGGGGTAGCGCCACAGGCATGTCTCAGAGCGAGTGTGCTGCCTCGGGGGTGCTCTGCCCACCTCTGCCAAGGAGGCCTCAGTCTATGCCTGGAGTTGTAGCACCCGGAGCCGTGCGGTCGCTATGGTAGCCACTGGCCACATGTGGCCATCGAGCAATTGAAAGGTGGCCAGTACGACCTGGAAGTGGAATTTGAAATTTATTTAATTTTAATTAAGTGTGAAAAACCGATTCTTGATTTAGTTATTGGAAAAGCTTTAATGTTTGGAACAGCTTGGGTGTGTAAATCGACTTTGCTTTTTTTTTTAAAACTGAATATTGTGAAACCTTAAATACAGATTAGATATTTGTGGTGAAAATTTAGTGATCGAATGGGAATGTGCTGGAAGTGTAAAATATACACTGGATAGCAAAGACCTAATACAAAAAATAATGTAAAATATTTCATTACTAAGTTTTATATTGATAACATGTCGAGATAATAGTTTGAGTACATTGGATTAAATAAAATGTAGTATCAAATGTAATTGTACATTTCTCTTTTTTTAATGTGATACTAGAAGATTTGAACTTCCATATGTGACTCGCATTCTGTTTCTATTGGGCACTGCCGCCCTGGAGACTGGGACTCAGGCGGCAGCATCTTGGCTCTAGACGACACACCATCGTCATCTGTTCCCCTCTGCCTCAGGGGGCCTCCCCGAGATTTCTCTAAGAGCAGTGCTGGCTTCCGGCCTTCCCTGCACTGCGGACGGGACAGCTAGAGTGAGAACAGCTAGCACCTGACCCAAAGGCCCAGCCTAATAGGCTGCTGGTGGAGAATTTGGGGCGGAGGGAGAAGGCTCTGCCCGGGGGCGGGAACCTCGTTGGGACGCGAAAGGAGGGACGGAACTGTGCGTGCAGGTGGGAGGGGGGTCGGAGGCCCAGGGATACCGGTTTCTCAGGACTGTCGGATTCTCCAGCCTCACTCCCAAACCGCGGGTTCTCACGCTCACCCCTGGCCCCACCCCCATCTTCCCACCTCTGCTGGCCGAGGAGCCGGCCCAGCCTGGCGGTGAAGTCCGGCTGCGACCTCGTGGCGCCGGCTCCTCTCACCTGTTAGGGACAGTAATGCGTGGTCTCCTCAGAGCAGGGACGAAAGCAGCAGGGCTCAGCGAGGAAGCTCGCGATGCTTGCGTGATGTTGGGTGAGGAGTGGGCGAGGACGCTGCGCCGATGCTGCCGCAGAGGGTGGGGTGGGGGGCTTCCCAGAGCCACGTGACTCGCCCCTCCGCCCCTCCTCGAAGCTCTTTCCCCTCCCTTCACCCCTCCCCTTCCGATGGAGGATGCTCGGCCGCTGTCCCTCGAGCTCCCAGCAGCTCCTCTCTCTCCCGCCCCGCTTTGAGGCAGCCTGCACCCCCCGACGCTGCGCCGGGCGTCAGAGGTGACCGCCCTCCAGAGTCGGCTTCCCGCGGGGGCTGCACTGGGCACGGAGGTTCCCCTTGCGCTTCCCCTCAAGGGGACACAGGGATGGTGGGGGAGAGCCCCCCAAGAAGGAGAAAGAAGGGGCAGAGCCGGGGGTCCTGGGCCGCGGTTTCTGCGGAGCGATCCTCTGAAGGCCTCCGAGGCTCGCTTCTCCGCCCCAGACGCGCAGAGCGCGCGGACAGGGTTGGCACTGAAGTGGGCACTGAAGTGGGCCGGTCCCCTTTTCCATAAACCTGTTTGTTAGATTCAGGCGAGGCCATTGGGATCAGAAGGGGGAGATGTGACAGAAATAAGGGGCAGAAAAGGTCTGAAGTAAAGAAAACTGCAGAAATCATGTTTAGTTTGGGCTGCCCCTGTCACGGCTGCTGGGCAGCAGGTTTAATGATGTGACGCAGAAGCAGGTGGCGAGGACTCACGGGGAGGACGCAGCGCCAGTGTAGAGCTGCCCTCCCCAGCCCACTCTCACGTCCTCTTCCCCGCGGGCTGAGGTCCTTGACCCCAGTTCCTTGTGTGGGCAAAGGGGATGGAGCAGAAGAGAGAGGGAGACCCCCTGGGTGAGGAGCAGAGTCTCTGAGAAGCAAGTGGCCCTTCCCTCAGAAGTGACTTCATAGCGGTGGTTGGCACATGTGTGAAGAAAGCCTGGTGGTTAGACGAGCAGACAGAGCCCTGGTCCTATTTCCTGCTCTGTGTGTGGCACGGGAGGCCTGGGCTGGCTACAGCGTCTAGTCCCAGCTCCCTGGGACCCTCAGGGAAGAGATGACAATGGCATTGAGACTGCAGAAGCACGAGGCTGACCTTCTGTCAGGCCCCCTTAATGGGCTGGGTGCAGGCAGGTGTGGGAGGCTGAGGCCGCTTGGGACCTGGTTCCCGTCCAAGCAGCCTTATTTCCTTCCCGTCCCTTTGACGCCCGAAGCTGGCGTGGCCGGGTCCCTGGTGTGGAGGGAAGGGTCAGAAGAGCTTGGCGGTGACCCGGTTCCCCCCAGACTTCTTATCCCCTGAGGGCCGAGGAGCCACAAAGTCGAAGGTCATGTGATGCTTGACCCGGCCTTTGCTCTTGCTCCAGAGGGCAATGAGGCCGAAGCAGAGGGTCACGGAAGTGAGGAAGGGGAGGAAGCCCACCGCCAGCACCATCGCCACGCCTCTGCTGTCCAGGAAGAAAGGCCCCGGGCCCCCTGGCGTGGTGATGTTGGGGTCAGAGAGAGTGCCGTTTGGTGGCTCAACTCGGATTACTTCCAGCCAGGTCCTCAGGGAGTCATTCCCAGCGACGTTGCTGACCACGCAGACATAGGGCCCTCTGTCCCGTAGCTGCACTGAGCGGATCTCCAGCGTCCCGTCCTCTAGGACCCTTACTCTCCCAGCCCTTCCCAGCCGAGCCCCCTGAGGCCTCATCCAAGAGACTGTGGGGGCTGGGTCCCCATCCCCAGAGCAGGAGAAGATAGCACGTCCCCCCTCCTCTGCGATGACCCATCTTGGTCCGGACTTTCGGATCAGGGCCGGCTGGCAAGTGAAGTGGCCCGGGGGGAGGATGTCCGAGAAGTCCCTGAGGCTCTTCCCTTGGACATGCTGGGGGCCGGCGCACGCAGGGGCAGACGAGCCGAAGTCCAGGCGGCCGCGGAGCCGGAGCAGCCAGAGGAGGCGGCAGTCACAGGTCAGGGGGTTGCCGGACAGCCTCAGGGTGACCAGTTTGTCCGGAGAAGGGAAGGCCGTTTCCTCCAACGTCTGCAGGGCGTTATCCGCCACGTCCAGGAGGTGGAAGGCGGTCAAGCCGTGGAAGGCGTGGGCAGCGATGGAGGTGAGGCACGCCCCGGACAGGCGGAGCTCCTGGAGCCGCACCAGGGGGCTGAGCCTCCGGGCCGGGATGGCCGAGATGGGGTTCTGCGAGAGGTCCAGGACCCTCAGGAAGCTCAGGTGGTGCAGCGCCTGGAAGGGCACCGCGCTCAGGTTGCAGCAGGTGATGGCCAGGCTGCTGAGGTTGAGCCCGGCCAGGCTCCCTGGCTCCAGGGCCTCCAGGGCAGGCCAGCGGTGGATCTCCAGCTCCTGGAGCTGCCCCAGCCCCCGGAGCGCCCCCGCCGGCAGCCTCCCAATGTCCAGGTCTCGAAGCCGAAGGGCCCCCAGTTCTGGGAGCCGGGCCAGGGCCCGGCCAGGCACTGTGCTGAGGTTGCAGCGCTCCAGGGTGAGGGACCTCAGCTTGGCCAGCCCTGCAAAGGCCCCCGGAGCCACAAACACCAGGTGGTTGTCCCCAACCTCCAGTTGCTGGAGACTGCCCAGCTCCCCAAAAGCTCCGTCGAGGAAGAGGACGATCTGGTTGAGGCGGAGGTCCAGCAGCGTGAGGGCGGACAGGCCGGAGAACACCCCGGGCCCCAGGATTCGCAGCCGGTTGCCCTGCAGCCTCAGGGTGAGCAGGCTTTGCAGGCCAAGGAAGGCCCCGGGCTCCAGGGCCGACAGCTGGTTGTCGCTGAGGTCCAGTTCCTGGAGCAAGCCCAGGCGGGAGAGCATCCCCCGCTGAAGCCCCCATAGGCGGTTCCCACTCAAGTCCAGGAGCTCCGTGTCCGGCGGGAGTCCCCCAGGCACAGCCTCCAGCCGCCGGTGGGCGCAGAGCACGGCCCGGGGCTGGGAGGTGCAGTCACACGCGGGCGGGCAGCTGCCACCGCTCCCTCCCAGCAGGAGCAGCAGGATAAGGAGGGGTCGCCACGGGTGCCAGGCTTGCTTTGGAGTTGTGGCCGTGGCCATCCCCTCTTCAGTCCTGGAACAGATGGTGACATGGTCCTTGTTGGGAAGTCGGCTCAGCCAGCAAGTGGGGCGCAGACCCAGGAGGAACCCCAGTGCCTCTTCCCTGGGGCCCCCTGGGGCTCCTCTTTGCAGACCCTCTCCTGTCCTCCCTCCTGGCCCCGGCTAACAGGCCAAGTGCTACTAGCTCAGGGACCCGGCCGGCCTTGGGGAAGTTTTATGGGACTGGGACCGGAAGCAGCAGGAAGTAACTCTGGGCTGGTCTCCCTGTAACCGGTTTTTCTCTGTATCTGTGAGATCCAAGGATACTCGGGTCCCTTCTCCCTGAAATCTGCTCTCCCCAAGCTCTGTTCTGTCCGTCTCTCCCATATTATCTACCCATAGCTTTGTCGAAGGCTAGCAGGGTGGAGGCCTCACCTCGAGCCGGTCTCCCAAGGCTGGGAACTGTGCGGGCCTTAGCTCTGCCCCCGGCCTCCGCTTACCGCCTCTCTGGCCAGCTCTGGCCTGGCACAGGGCCCGAGGCCCTGGACCAGCAAGATTCAATCTCCCCAGAGCGCTTGGCCGTGGAAAACGGCCAAGCTGCACATTAGCTGTGGCTCAGGACACAGGGCTACTTGAATCTCTCACAGGAACCCCAAGGGCAACCCCTCCTCCCCGATGGATGACACTGGGGTGCGTGAGGGACCTGAGAGATGCCCAGGCTTGGGGTTCTGTTGCTTGGTCCTCAGACTTAACTGCTCTTATGTCCCTCCTCCGTGGTGTTTTGATTCAAGTCCAGCGTGTGAATCTGAGGGAACTGTCTTGTCCCCTTTGGCTTCAGCTGCCCGATCGTAAGCCGGGAGGCATAGACAGGTGTTGAGGAACAGCACCTGACTGGACGCGGTGGGTGGGAAGCGGTAGGGACCCCGTGGCTGGCACAGCAGATCTCTGGGCACAGGCTGTCGACTTAAAGTGGGTTTCTGCATGCCGGGGGCCTGGGCAGCCTCAGGAAGACAGTGACCACTGACCACTGGACACTGGCCTAAGCGATGGAGGAGAAGGGTCCCGCAGGTGGTTTGGGCCCTTGACTCACCCTGTTCAAGACCAACCAGGGACCCCCAGGAAGGGCGGGGCGGCCCTGGGATTGGTGAGGAATGGCCACATGAAGGGAAGGTGCCTGCCTTTCTTTCTAGCTGCAGGTTCTGATCGGCTTTGGGGTGCAGGCTTCCGGCTTCCTGGGCCCTCATGTGCCCTATAACCTGCCACGTGGAGCTGAGGAGAGGCAATTTGGGACACGGTGTGACTTCTTCCCCTTTCCTTCCCCCTCCACACCCTCCTCTAGCGGGGTCGTGGTGGCCACTATCCCGTAGCTACTTCAGGGGACTGCAGTAGTTGGGAAGCTGAAGAAAGGGGCCACAACAGCCGAGGGACGTAGGTCGCTATTCTGAGGCTGAGGCATGAGAAAGGGTGGCACGGGGTGGGCAGAGGCTGCCGACCGTCCCCGCTCGTCCCCATCCCAACCTAACAGGTATCTGTGGCATGCTGCGAGTTCACCAGGCAGACAACTGTCCCGGCCGCTCTCGTTGTCCCTGTGCATGCCTGGGAAGTCCACCCGACACGGACCCCGACAGTGACAACGGGCCCTTTCTCTCTGCCACTGCAGTTCCTGCTCATCCTGGCTCTGCATCCAGCAAGAGTGCAGCGAAGCGTGTAGCCCAGCTTCCCTGCTCCCCACTGCTGCGAGTTCCCTCTTAGTCCCCAAAGCCTGCTGGGCCAGGGGCTGGGGGATCAGGGGGCCGACCCCTTTTCTTTATAAGGTGGCTAATTGAATCACAGACTTCCCTTGCCAATCTCCATGGCTACAGGACTGGCTTCTCGCCACTCTGCAGGAAGAGATAGCTGTCAGAACCCCTTCTCTCTCTCCTTAGTGGGTTAGGGTCTGGGGCATCGTCCCCTCAAGGAATAGAGTACTGTCTTCTTCCTGGCTCTCTGTGGCAGTCCAAAGACGCATTTGAACCTGGGTGTTTTCTTTGGAGCAGGCCCGATTGAGGCATGGGGACCCGCGTGGGGAGGGGGCTCTTGGAGGAAAGATTTCTGGAATAGCCATGCTGATTGCAGGGCGGGGGAGGAGGGCCCTTCCCAGAGGTAGGGGGAGCACTGGGGAGCCGGAGGGAGGTCTTCTCGCAGTCCTTACCCCAGGGCCGCTTGGGACATCTTACTTTTCCCATCAAAGTCCCGCGGGGCTGGGATCAATAACTGGCTGGGGGCGGGGTTTGTCACAGACCCTCTAGCCTCGACCAACCGGCACACTGGGCTGGCTCCGACTCCGGGGGAGCATGACAGAGAAGGGGGCCGCTGCAGTGGGGGGACAGGGTATGGGGGCGCTTACCGGAGAAGTGGAGGGCGGCATCAAGTTGGCCGCTGCATCTGTCCGGGGTTGGGGGCCTGTCCCATTCGAGGTCACTTCGGCCTGCACCTCCCCAGTGCGCCTCACTCCCACTGCCCCCTGCCCGCCCGCCCGCCGCTGCCTCTGCTGCTGCCGCTGCCAAGACCAAGGTAGAGAAAAGAGCCAGAAAGCGTTTCTCCGTTTTTTTTTTTTCCTCTCTCTCTCTTTTTAAACCAGGCGAGAATGAGTCTGCAGCAACCCTGTTGGTGCAAAATAAATAAATAAAGCAGCCAGGGAGGCTGCAGCGGGCGGCACTCCAGCGTGCAGAGAGGGAGGGGTGCGGGCGGCTCTGTGGCCCCCAGGCTCCCGGCCGCTGCAGAAGCAGCCGGGCAGCTCGGAAGGGTCTTTCGGGCTCCAGACCCCCCGGGCCGAGCACCTGCCTTGGGGCTGTCATTTAGTCTGGCAGGTGCAGGGCAACCCTGTGCGACCTCTCTGTCTAAACACCTCCTGTGGGTACCATTTGTGGGCAAAGTTCTCAGCCCAGAGCATCCACTGGGGAGCCGAGTTTGAAGCTCCTTCGATGGGGGTCCCTGAGGCTCGGACCCCAAGCCTCAGCGGGGGGATGCTTGGAGTGGGGGCTAGAGTCCCTGCAACACTGATGGTGGCCGGGCTGGAGACCAGGGTCCCCCCTAACCCTCCCCACCCACAGCGCTACTGCAGGGCGGCATGTAGGTAATCTACTTAAGGCTCCCCCGCTCCCCGACACACACACACACCTCTGGCCTTTAAGATCCTTTTATAAAGAATGGCACAAGTCGGGGTTTAGGTTTCCCCGGCTAACCCCTCCTATCACCTGCTGTTTCTCCCTCAGCGGGGGGCGGGGGGGGGCGGCTCACAGCTCTTTACAGAGCCAGGACGAGCCCTGGGGAAGGTCAGGGCTGGAGAAAAACTGCCTGCTGGTGCCGGTGGTGCCCAGCCGCTGGGTGGTGGAGGCGTCCTCTCTGTAATGGGAGCAGGGCCGGGGGGCGGGGCCCAGACAGTCCTCCGAGAGTCTGTCCCTGGCCTCTGACCAGCGTCCAGCCATCTCCGCTTCTCTCGTGGTTTCTTGTCATAGGAGAAAGCCGAGCCGGGACAGAGCCTGGAGCACCCCAGGTCTAAGGTTGGTGCACGGGGCACAGGGAAATGCTCTTGGGCTCCCTCAGGGCTGGCGCTCTTCCTGAGGCCACTAAACTCCTCTGAGCCACAACCTCAAGGAAGACAGATCGCGTCCGATCAGAGGCGTCTGTCTCTAGAGCTGCGTAATAGTTTGAGTGAGTGTGTGGTCCACCTGCATGTGGACTTGTGTCTCTGATCCGGCTGGTGCTAACCCCTAACGTCTGTTTGTAAAATACACATAGAGGTCTGAGTTCTAACTCTCTATGATGGTCTCAGCCTTCATTGTACCTTATCCTATACCCAAATCCCATAAAAATATCATCCCCAGCCCCTCGCCCTCCATGGATGCAGTTTTTTTTTGTTCTGACCCCAGGAAAGGGGCAGGGTGCCCAACCATTTCCTTGCTGAGCTGGCAGGAAGAGGAAGATGCAGGTTCACGTTATGTACAGCCCTTCTGGGCTCCGGCCGCCGGTCTCTGAGCTGGGTGCTTCTTCCCCGGCCGAAGCCCACAGGGAAATGCGATGAGGTATTTCAAAGACTGGTTCTTAGCTTCTGAGCCCAGAGTTGAGTTCCATTCGTCCAGGGTGTCCTGGATCCCCCTGTTGTGCTGAGGATAGCTTGGTCCTCCTCGAGGTCCTTCTGTCACCCCATCCCCCAAGGCCTCCCAGAACCTGGGGTGACAAGGCAAGGGAAAGGGGCCAGAACAAAGCTGAGGCCAGAGGTGCCGGTCCTCGTCCCCACACTCTGGCCCTTGGCCCACTGCCAGGCAGGCCGGTGGCAGGAAACTGGTCTCAGCATTTGCTCGGTCCCACAGGACGGGCAGGGACCACCCTCCGGGGGAGAGGGTTATGGGAAAGGCAAAGGCTGAGGGCGGGAGGGTGCGGGTGGGGGCGCGGCAGGCTCTGGGGAAGAAGCCCCTCTTCCAGGTCACTGGGACAGTCCCTCGGGCGACTCGATTTCAGTGCTGAAGAGCTCCTTGTAGAGCGGGGGGAAGGCGGCTTGGACCACGATGGGGTGCAGGTGCTGGAAGGTCTGCAGCTTCTCCACGTGCTGGCTGCACAGGCTCCGGAGCTTCCCCTTGGGCGGCAGCTGGAGGCGGGTCAGCGGGGAAGGAGGGGGGCCCTTCAGCGCTCTCCCCAGAGCCCCGAGCTCCTCTGTCCTTCCTGGGCCAGGGTTCCCCTTCTCTCTTTCTCTCTGTGCCCTGGGCACTTGTGGACGGGCCAGTGCCCACCGGAGCGGGTATGTGTCAGGCAAGAGCAGACCTCTGGGTGAACCCCAGTCACGTTCCCACTGCTCCTAACGTGAACACTGTTTGGGACCGTCCATCACACTTCATGCTCTGATGGGAAGTTCTGTGACTCTCTGGGTTATGTTCTGTCCCCCGCCTTTTTGCCTTTGTCGATGCCCCGTCACCTGGAGTGCCTTTCCCATTCTCTGCTTAGCTAGTGACTCCTTCTCCAACAACGTCTCTCTGACCACCCCCTGGATTAAGGGTCTTTCCTGTGGGCTTCCCGCTATGTGGCCCTTACACCCCATTTTAAGGAAATGACCCAGTTTGTCTGCCTTCCCAACCTAGGTTTAAGCTCCTTAGGTGGAGTCCCCCCATCCCGTGGCAAATACTCAATAACTGTTTGTTTGAACTAAACAGTTTCCCAGCTGGTGCCCAACACCGCCGGCGGCCCAGAGGCCGTGAGGAGACAGAGCGGGAGACCTTCCTAGAGGAAGGCTGAGAAAGCCATCTATCTGCCGCGTTTTTTCCTAACTAAGCGAGCCTTAACTACACCTCTTACCGGCCACCCCGCTTCTCCCCGGCTCAGTGTCTCAGGGAAGGGGCAGGCAGGGAAGAGCAGGCGGCGTCTTCTCTTTGAATCTGTCTTCTTTTCATTTCTATTGCTTTAGTTCGAGTTTGTCCAAACTATTGCAATAGCTTCCTTCCTTCCTTCCTTTCTTCCTTCCTTCCTTCCTTCCTTCCTTCCTTC